GCATCCGTGCCATTTGCGTCCGTGGAGGAGAATGGATAATTGCAGGATGGGGCGAGGCATGGCGGGAGGAGCGCGCCCGGCGATGCGGGGTGAGGTGAGGTGAGGTGTGGGGTGAGGTGCGGGGTGAGGTGAGGTGCGGGGTGCGGTGAGGTGCGGTGGGGCGGAGCGGCCGGCCGACAGGATGGCCACCCCATTACGCTGACCAGCCAATCAGAGCACGTAATTCATGCCCGACTATAGAGACGTCCGCTGGCCGAACTGAACGGCCCACCGGGCCACCGTGCAGAGCAGAGCGGCGCCGAGGGGATGACCACAACCTGCTTCTACTCTAGAAATCCAAAAGTGAGACAGAATTTGGTATATTCCATACTGAATGACAGATGCATGCCCGTCCCCTAAATGCTGTTAATATTTGTTAAATGCTAAATACATACATCCGAGCGCTCTTTCACCATCCCCGCATAATAACACACTACCTGTCTTTCAAATTCTTTAACCTTTTTTTTTTTTCAGGGTGCAAAAGATGCCGATGAAAATGCAGAATTCCTACGCCGCGAGCACAGAGAGTGGTGAGGCAGCGGCAGTGTGCCATGCTGGATGTGGTGGACGAGCGTCGCCGATGACGAGGCCACGACCAGAGCGTCTGCTGAACGCGGAGCCGCATTGGACACCGTCGGTGTCTCTGTCTGCCATAGGCGGGCAAAGGAAGCGGGAAGTGATTGCCAAGGGTCGCGGCACAAACGGGCACCACGGGGCGGCGCGAGCAAGCGCGGCCGGGAGGACGTCGTCTCTACTCTTTCCACTAATATCCTCGCTGCAGCTCCGCCCCGATGAGTGAGGGAGAGGAGAGGGGGTGAAGGGGGAGGCATCCGGGGCGATAAGGGCGCGCCCTGCCTGGCATCGAACACAACGGCATCAGCCCGCGCGCTCATCAAACCACCCTGCCGAGTAAAACGCTGCGCGGCGCCACGCGGGGCGGGCTCAGCGCCCCTCGAGCAGAGAGGCGGAGCGGAGCGTCATTGGGAGATCACAAGCCTGTTGTGTTGTTGTCTTGCCTCGAGTAGGGTAGTGGCGGGTCGCTCGAGATCTCGGATGGAGGAGCAGTCGAGGAGCGGAGCGGGGAGTACGGGTGGTGAGCGGGAGTGGTGAGCGCGGGGCCGGTGAGCGGTACCGGTGAGCGGGGCCGGTGAGCGGTACCGGTGAGCGGTACCGGTGAGCGGTACCGGTGAGCGGTACCGGTGAGCGGTACCAGCGGTACCGGTGAGCGGTACCGGTGAGCGGTACCGGTGAGCGGTACCGGTGAGCGGTACCGGTGAGTGAGTCTGGGAGGGCTGTGCCAATGAGCAGGGGCGGTGAGCGGGCCGAGTGAGACCAGGTTGGGAGATAGCGAGCTCCCCGGCAACGGGGGGTAAAACCAAGGTTCAAGATATGCCAAACAGGGGCCAACAACAGGCGGCAGCGGGCTGAGCGGGACTTAGGGCAAAGGCAAAGCTGGCGGCCAAAAGCACCCAGCCGCCCTGACGCCCCGCCGCCGGGCCTTATGTTGATACAACGCGAACCTGGCCGACTTCGTTAGACCCGCGGCGAACAACAGAGGGGGACCTCCTGCCCCTTATCAAGTCGCTGCCGAGTGATTCCAAACGCCCAAGATGAGGTCCCGGCAGCAAGACGGCAGCAAGGCGGCAGCCTGCAGGCACGGGCCTCGGGCGAGACACAGTTCCTGGGTCTTTCCTGTACCCCTACGCGGGCTGCCTGTCCTCACAGTCTCGGCCGAGAGAGAGAGAGAGAGAGCGAGAGAGAGAGAGAGCGAGAGAGAGAGAGAGAGAGAGAGCGAGAGCGAGAGCGAGAGAGAGAGAGAGAGAGAGAGAGAGAGAGAGAGGAGGAAGGGGAGAGGGAGAGGAAGGGGAGAGAGAGAGGAAGGGGAGAGAGAGAGGAAGGGGAGAGAGAGAGAGGAGAGAGAGAAAGGGGAAAGAGAGAGGAAGGGGAGAGATAGAAAGAGAGACCTCAGCTCGTGAGGGAGCCTCAACGCGGGCCGGCCCAGCCTCAGCCTCCCAGGGGAGAATAACCTCGTCTCCTCCAAGGCCATCAGCATTTTGATTATCGATTCCCTTCACCGCGCGCACCTGTCCGCCGTTACCTTCTTCTTTCGAGCCGCCTACATGAGCGACAGGCTGAAGGTCACGGCGACGCTCGCCTCACGCGCTCCGTCCGTCTCTGCACCCCAGGGTCACCCGCAGGGGGTCTGGCAGCCAGCGCCGGCACACCGCGGGGGACCACCTTCCAGCTTCCTCTGCTCTGTTGCCAACCAAGAACACCGCCGTATCGACGCAGTACAGTCGGACCTTTGCGCTGAGTTTTGCACATTTTACAATTTGGTCATGCTTAGTACATTCTGGGTTCAAATCCGACAGTATACGCTTCGGAGCAAACCTAACCAAATGGTGCGGGAGCGCCTACTCGGAGCACGGACGCGCGGCCCAGAGGGGTGACCTGAGCACCGAAACAAAGGTCAGCAGAGGAACCGAGAGGAACTGGGCCCAGATCACCCCACCTCGTGGCGGCCGACGTCGGCCGCCACAGACAAAGGACACAGGTTGGTCCGATATATCGTCTGCTCTTAGTTGATGGGGAGAGAGGGGTGGGGTGGTGCACTCACTGCACGAACTTGGCGGCGGAGAGCTCGGCGGAGAGCACGGTGAGGGAGGCAGGGAGGGCGCTGTGGCTCCTGAGAGCAAGTGAGACGCCCTCGTGAGAGGAGGGCGAAAGCAGGGAAGGGCGCGCGCGGGTAAACAAAAGGGGTGGAGGTGTGTCGGGGAGGCGAGGCGAGGCGGGGCGGGGGTAGAAAATGTGTTTACCACAGCGATATGCTGCCGCCAAGCCACCGCCGGGGCTGGTCCAGGGTGGAGCAAAGAACACACTGAGGAGTTATGCCCCCTTATCGCGACGTGCGTGGCGTGCGTGTGTGTGCGTGCGTGTGTGTGTGTGTGTGGACCCAACCCTTCCCACCTGTGCCCGGCGCCAGCCTCAACGTCCGCCGCTGCCGCCAAGCCGCATAAAAAGGGCATCCGCTCTATTTTAATGCAAATAAAAATATAAAAAAAAAGAATATGAGAAGAGCAGCGGAGGGCTAAGGGAAGAGAAGAAGGAGAAGAGGAGCCGAATGAAAAATAGCCCATAAAGGAAGTGTATTTCCTTGTTAGGTGCAGCCCGGGCTGAGCCGGGCGCCACCGGCCGCCCGCGAGGCTGTGCTCCTATGTGCGCGCGGCAGGTATACCCCACGCGGGCACTGGCGATTGGCGAATCTGGGTGAGGGGGCCAAGCCAAGGGAGTCAGTAGGCAGTTTGCCTGTTAGCTGTTAGCGATGGTGGCCCCTCGGGTGGCCCTCCACCGAAGTTGGGCTTTCTCCTCACCACCTCTCAACTGCAGGCGGTAGTTCAAAACACAACCGTACGCAAGCTCTAATCTATTGTTAAGGCTATCAGAGCAGTTGTTACAAGAACAATGGACCAGGATTTTCAATTCAACAAACCAAAATCTCCACTTTTACAGACTTTGTATGGGTACGACGGGAAGCATGTCTTTACGCATATGACACATTCATTTACGAGGAGGTCAGAGGAAAAATTTTACTGACTGCGCCCCTTATTTTACGGCGTTCCCGGTCTTAACAACCCTGTCCATGGATTTCGTTTCCGGAGTACCGGGTACGTCTTTTGGTCCATCGGCTGTAGAATTACAAAAGGTGCACGGGAAAAAATAACATCATGAACCATTTCTTTCTTTGTGATGTCTTAAAATTTAGCAAGAGTAGACGGGAGCAGCGACACCTTTGCGCAAAGGAAACAGGGAAGACAGAGAGAGAAAGAAGGGCGGGAGAGAAGGGGAGGGGGAGTGGGTTGTATTCGTCCCCAGCATTGTACAAGGTTAGGCGGGGAAGTCCCAAGCAGGCGGCAGGAGCCCGGCGCGGCCCGGCGCGGCCCGGCGCAGCCGCGCAAACAAGTGTCTGCCATGTTTCTTCATTAAACGCACGGTTCGCTGCTAAATGCTTTCTCCTGGCGGCGCGCGCAATGTAAGAAAATAATATAAAAGGAGAGGGACCTCAGGCACTTTGTCTCTAGCCGGGATGATGTCATTTTGAAAGAAGCGAAATAAGGGAGAGTGCGAGAGAGGCGCGGTGGGGTCGAGTGTGAGAGAGTGAGAGAGGGGAGAGCGAGAATAAAAGACGGTGGAAATAAAAGAGCGCGGGGGAAATGTTGCCTCATTGGAAGGAAGCGTTGCCGCACGACCCAAACCTTTGCGACCTGCTCGACCCTTGGAAATGAGCACAGCGCGTGGAGGTGGGGGAGGG